ATTGATGCTTATTGGAAGCATGGGGATGATGATCTGGATAAGTCTAGCTTGATATTTGGCAACGTGACTTCGAAATTGCGTAAGCAATTAGAGGACATGGACGATTCTTTGATGGTTGATCAGTAGAATGCGTCATTCCAAAAGAAGACTAAGAGCCACAGAAAGAGTGATATGGTAATTGTTGGAAAGAGTTCCAACGAAAGGAAGCGTTCCAGGAACAAGGGCAAGAGGAAAGTGACAAGCGTTGTCATTGAACCTAAGCCTAAGTCCAAAAAGGGAAGAGAGTTATTTTTGTCATGCCGTTGGGCATTGGTATAGAAATTGTAGACTCTACCTGGAAGATCAAGAGAAGAAGAAGCTTATAGAAGCATCGACTTCTGGTGTCTTCGTTATAGAGGTTAACTTGTTTACTTCCACAACGTGGGTATTGGATACCGGAAGTGCCTCGCACATTTGTGGAAATGTGCAAGGGTTGCGAGGAAGTAGACAGTTGGCAAAAGGAGAAGTAGATCTCCACGTTGGGAATGTAGCAAAGGTAGCTGCATTAGCCAGTGGGACTTACGATCTGACTTTACCTTCTGGACATGTATTGGAGTTGCATGATTGCTATTATGTTCCTGCCGTTAGCAAGAACATTATGTCGATTTCATGTTTAGACTCGGATGGTTTCAGATTTGTTATTAAGAACAAATGTTTGTCCATTTATAGAGGTGATTTGGTAAAGGTTACCAGTTTAATGACCTTTATGTTTTGGATGACGAACCGTCAAGATACAGGTCTATCTATAACGTTTGTACCAAACAGTTTAAGCCGAACGACTTAAACCCAACCTTCCTCTGGCATTGTCGTCTAGGCCATATAAACGAGAAGCGCATTCATAAGCTTCATTCTGAAGGTCTTCTGGATTCATTTGACTTTGAGTCTCTTGAATCTTGCGAGTCTTGTTTGATGGGCAAGATGACAACGCATCCTTTCAAGGGGAGAGCGACAGAGTTATTGGATCTGATACATAGTGATGTTTGCGAACCAATGAGCTGTCCAGCTAGAGGAGATTATTTGTATTTCGTTACGTTCACTGATGATTTCAGTAGATACGGTTATGTCTATTTGATGAGACATA